GTTGTTTCCTAGCAATTAGTGTCTACCAACAAAAGCTGAAAATATTTGCTTAAAATGTTCAGTACTGTTAATTAAAAAGCACAGAAATTTTTATAAGATATGCGTTCCAATCAGTAAAAATACTTGAATATCTGACCAAAACTCAGAAAGAAAAGTAGTTGTTACCGCATTACAAAACTCAGTTTATTGGCATGAATCTACAGAAATTAATGAATGCAAACTCAGATATGTACACTAATTAAAGCCAAAAAAACCTTTTTTATACTTAGTTAAGCTTTTCTTAAAACAGAGAGACAAAAACAATTTTAAAAAAATATATAGAATACCAGTAGTGAATGCATGCAAAATTTTTTGAAGTCATTTTATTTTTTTGTCCTATATCTTATAAAAAAAAAAAAATATTAGCATAAGACTTTTGTTGAGTAAATTTGCAAGAAGAAGGATAAAGTGACTAAGTTGCGAAAATAAAGTTGAAATTCAATTGAACCAACTTCATTAGCACAATTCACGAAGCAAAATTTTTAACCAACTCAATTTGCCTCACTTAAACTTCTCAAATCGCTTAACTGGTTTCAGCCTTCCTTACAACTGTCTAACAAACCTGCTTCCCTTCTTCAACTTTTTCTACACCTTCTTCTATGTCTAAACACATCGATTTACTCTGTGAGTCCGAAAACTTTTAGGAATGAAATAACGCTAAACAAAGCGTTTTTTAAATAAAAATTTTTTACATGTCAGTAAGCAGACTGTACCATTTGACAACCTTCAGTAAGAAAGACTTACAAAAGACTTATTACAACTTTTGTTCCTTTATTAAACTGTACATTCACTAAATTAAATCGAAAAATTCACAAATAAATTGGTCCATTTTGGTTTTGCTTGTATAATCCAAAAGCATGAGGTCGCTTAGCAACTTGAAAGATACCAGTTTGAACATCCTTCACTTCAGCTTTTCAACTTCAAAAATAAGTGCTTCTTAAACAGCTATGGCTATTTTAAACGGTAACTGTTGAAATAAGATGGTATTTTCAATAATAGGTAAAAAAGTGCAAAAAAAGATGGGGAAACTTTATGAAACATCATTGCAAGAACCGTACAGTGAGTGTTTTTTCTTTGTTCTAGACGGCTATACCGCTCTAAATTACCCGCATGCTTTAGCTATCTTTGCAGTTTTTCTTAATTTTACTGGTGGAGTCTGATTTTAGATTAAAGAAACCGACGAAGTGTCTTAAACTAAAATTATTTTAATTATAGGTAATTTAGTCAAAAAGAAAAAACCAAGAGAAAGTAAAAAAAGTGACCAAAACAAATCTTCGGCAGAGGTTTTCAAAACTGATTTAAAAACTGTAGAACTCAGTTACATTATGTTCTTCTCTTGTTGAAATGTCAGCAGATAACACAAGTATTGCTGTTTATTTGCATAGGTAAAAAGTTTTACTTTTTGCTAATGGTTTATCGCTTACAGTAATTTGTGATTGTCTAATAACTTCTTTTTCTGAGCTCTTTTCACATCACATTATACATTTCTTTTATCATCTTTTAAAACTTTGCTCGTTTATAAGCCTTATGCCAAGATTTAAAAGCCAAAAATGGTTACTTGAAAACTGTGCTAACAATAGCTTTCAAGCAAATAAAGGCTTAAAAAGTACAATTCTTGTTAAATCATTTCTAAAAATTTTTCATCACTTGTTTTTCAAATATAAAAATTTAAAATTTTCTCACTTTAATATTTGAAAGTTCATTACTGTACAAACGATACGATAGTTTTTCAAATTAGCGAAGAGCAGAACACTGAATGAAAAAAAGTCATTCACATTTTGTACGCATAAATAGGACTATAATTTTTTGAAGATGACCATATTAAGAAATAACTGCACCTTTTTTTTTCGCACTTTACCACGGTCTAAGTCCATTTTTAGTGCATTTTTTAAATTCAACCATTTTGAACTTTCAAACTGGATTCAAAGTCCAAAAGTTAGCAGAAGTTAGAAAAAAAAACTTAAAGTTTTTGTTACAAAACTAAGCGTTTAACGTCGATTGTACCTACCATTTATTTTTTCAGTTTTATTTGTTAAGAACTTAAAACATTGCCTTTATCAGTCAACAGTTTTGTTGAGAACTCATGACGAGGAAAAGAAAGA